TAGCTTTTAATTGGCAGTGATCTGTACTTGGAGCTGCGTAGTGTCAAGGGCTTTTCTTTTTTTGTGCTCTCAAGAAGCTTTTCTTTCTCTTCTGGATGCAGCTGTGTTTCTCTTTTGCTCGCAAAGTGTAGAGCACTTGGGGAAACCAGCTTCAAGGAACCGTCCCAAAGGCTTGTGGAGATCAGGGCTCAGTATGGTCAAGCCTCGGTGGCTGGTAGCAGCATCGCACCCACCCAGGGGTGCCAGCTGGTCCAGGACACCCGGACTCTGTTCCGAGAAGCACCACAGACCTGCTCCCTGACCTTCAGCAATCACTTCCCTGTTCTGGGCCGCTATTTTTCCCTCTTCTTCCTCTCTTTTGTCTCACCCTGTTTAATTGTAACCTCTTTCAGGCAGGAACACTGTGTATAAAGGGCCTAGAACAATGTGCCCCAGATGGTATTGTACAGGTCCTTTCTTGGCAGCCACGAGGTTTCACTATACAGGAAAGAAATTTTTAAAAATACAACTTTTCGGCATTTTGTACCTGCAAATGTGGCCAGGAACTTCCTGAGCCTTGATATTTCAGTCCAAGTTGCAGGTCTTAGAGACAAGGGCTAGCACTAGAATCACAGCTTTTCCTTTTTATTTAAAAAAAAACCCAAAACCAAAACACAACAACAAAAAAACACAACCACCACCAACCCCCCACCCTGAATCCCTTTTTCTCGGTAGCATGACTGCAGGGAAAAGCTTGTAAATGCAACTAGAGCAGGCCTGGCATGCTCAAAACCAGAGGCAAATAGAAAGAACACGATATTTCAACAAAAACAACATGAACCCCTTCTTTGGGTTTCAGATGATGGCTTGAGTGTGGTTTTGCCCCCTTTGTGGTACTTTCAGTGGTTTTGTTGTTCTGTTTTGGGGAGGTGCTGAAGTCACTGGCACTTGGCTGCAGTTTATTTCGCTTTCAGGTTCCCTGGCTTGGAGCACTTGCATTGCAAACACTGCAGGGCAGTGCTTATTTGTTTTAAGACCACAGCTTGCTTTGGAATTTCTTCTACCAAACTTCAGGCCAATATTTTTTTTTTTTCTTGTTCATCCTGCTCCCTCTCCTTCCCCCCCAAAGAGTGAAAGAAGTTTTCTTCATCTCGTCTTGCATCAGATTTGATACTAGGCCAACAAATCCAGCCTAGAAGGTGCTTTTTTTGAGACTGCTTGCCTTGGTGTGACCACCTGGGTGAGGATTCCTCTTCAATATGCAACGACGCGCCATCAGTTTTATCAGGGGCATCTCCCCCACGGTGCTGCTACCCTGGGGTGACAGGATAGTGCAGGTCTGGGTCCCTGTTGCCCATCCAGAGGCTGCTGTGTTTTAACAAACACAGGTTTTGCAGGGCTGTTCGCTCCGGAGCGGTGGGAGTCCTGGGATTTTACCAAAAGTTTCTGTTTCTAATTAGGTTGTTCTCAGTTCTAAAGGCCAGAGATCTCTTTATGGCGCAGGGTGGAAAACCTGACCAGTCACCGACACCGCACGGAGAGGTGGGTCCTGCTTTTGTACCGAGATGCGGAGAGACGTCACTTCTCCTTGGCGCTCTTCGGATGTGAAAATAGATTCCTCGCAGCCCTCAGCTCCCTGTGGCTCATCCGTGGGGGAGGCTGGTGGGCAGAGTTTGGAGGAGCATCACTTGCCCTGGCCTGACTCACACAGACGTGGTTCAGCAACTTCCTGCTGCTCTGACCACCCGGCTTTGGAAAAGGTGGAGTTGCAGCGCGGCTGACACGCAGCCCCAGCGCAGGGGTCGGTGCTGTGGCCTCGCCAGTCCTGGCCCAGCTGCCTGAAGTCGGGGTTTGGAGCTGGGCTCTTTCGGGAGGGCTGCTCCCGAGGCCAGGGCTTGCTGCACAGGCAGGGCTGGAGAGTTGTGCTACGCTGTTTGTCTGGGCCGGGGAAAGACAGCACCGTCTCCCAGTGCTCGCAGGAAACAGTATTTATTTTTTCCCTTCTGTTAGGGCTCTGTCTCGTTCTATTGTCTGAAATTCCCTTGCAGAGACTGGCCCATAACTCTTTAAAAAAAATAATCCCAAGCGTGGGGGCTGGAGCTCCCTCGGCTCTGCCTGTTGGCGGCCTGACTCTGTGCAAACAGTCTGAGCCTGAAATCCCTCAGGACTGAACATAAAGGTCTGATTCAAAACGAAAATGGAGTGTGAAGCAGCGTGGCCCACGCATCGCCGGCAGCCTGGCTGGAGCCTCGTCGGGGGAAGGTGCCTCCCGAAGTGCCTGGGGAGATCCGTGCCGCGCCGCCTGCTCTGGGAGCTGGGAGGTCGCGGGGGAAACGGCTCCTCGTCATCCTTGCGTGAGGCTGGCAGAGGTGGGAGAAGCACGAGGTGGGCGGGAGGGCACCGCCATGCACCGAACTTGGAGCGGAAATTATTGGGGGAGCAAAGAATGAGCAGGATATCACGTGTCGGCCGTGCGCGCTCGGGGCTGGGGGAGAACAAAGCGCAGGGAAGCCCTGCTCCGCTGCCGCTCCCACCCCGCTTCCTGCTGGCACGGGAGGGAGACCGCTGGCTGCTGGGGAAAGGGAGCAGGAGCCGGCTGGCGGCTGCCCGCCTTTGGGGAAGCTGGAAGGCTCTGCGTGCCTCAGTTTCCCTTGGCTGAGATGTGCTGGGTGCAGCAGGGTGGTCTTCAGGTGTTGGCCTGCTGGGGGTGGCCTTGGAGGGCCAGGCTGCTCTGGGGCTGCTGTGCTCCAGGGATGCTCCGGAGGTGTTGGCCTGGAGGACGGAGCTCCCATCCCACATGGAAGCCTCGTTCCTCAGTAGTTGAACAGGCAGGTCCTACGGTTGGGCTTTGTGCACCCACAGCAGCCTCGAGGAGCTGGGCCAGCACCCTGCACCTTTGGTGCCAGCAGCTCTGGTCCCTCCTGGAGAGCGGTGGCATTTTGCCAGGGTGCTGTGGACAGAGTGCGGTGGCCCTTGCCAAGGATTTGGTGTCAGGTGGGGCCTGGGAGCAGGGCAGCCCCAGGGAGCAGCTCCCCTGCCCACAGACCCTTACATGGCTGGTCCTTCCTGCTGGTGCTGAGCTCTGCCTTGGGTGTCTTTCTCCCTTCAGTTGCTCTTAGACCCTCCCCCACTTCCCCCCCATGCTTTAGGGGTTTTTTTTTTGTTATTAATAGCTATTGAGAGCCAATAAAAATTTTTACAGGGTTTGGCCAAGCATCAGGACTTGTAGTATGCTCATTTCCTGGATTCTGAGTGCTGGAGGGGCGTGCGTTTGCTTGTTTAACCTGTAGGTAATGAGGCCACAGCAGCAAAGGTTCTTGGTGGGCGTTGCAGGAGGCTGGAGAAGAGCAGAGGAAGGTGGTGAGAGGGGGAGCGGGGCCGGGGAGGCAGGCAGGGAGGGATGGGGGCTGCCCCCCAGCTCAGCTCACTCAAAACGCAGCTGGGAGCAAAAGCAGAGGTGATGAATGCCGGAGGGAAAGCGGGACATGCGTGCGTGTGTCAGTCTGTCTGTCTCTCAGGTGGCTTCCCAGGGTGCACCTGGCTCCTGCTTGACCCTCTGCGCTCTCCAGCCCGGGTTTAGCTTCCTGACTGTCCTGCTCCTGGCACGCTCCGGCTGCCTCCCATGCAGGCGTCCTTGCGAGGAAGGACTGAACCTGACCTCACCTCCACGCAGGCAGCTCTGATGGGAACCCTGGGTGGAGGGAGAGTGTGGCTCCCTCTTGGGAACCTGGTTCCCTGAGCACGGAGCTGGTCGATGGTACTTGTCATCCACCCTGTGGAAGGGAGCTGATTTGGCCTCGATGTTGGGCTGTCACATGTAGTTTGGGTTGGAAGGGATCTTTAAAGGTCATCTAGTCCGATCCCCTGCCATGGGCAGGGGTTGCATGTGGGAAGGAGCTCCCCGGTGTGAGGGGCTGAGCTGAGTCCTGCCTGTTTGTGGAGGCCAAAGGGAACCCCGAATTACCCCACTGCCAGCACAGGGCTTCCCGCTAGCCTCACTGGGAAGTGCTGGGAGCCATGCACATAAGGTAGGCAAGGTGCTGCGCAACCACTGAGCAAAATCCATGGCCATCAGTTACTCTCAGCCAGTGTCACAGCTGCTTTTGCCCAGGCTGCAGCCAGCAGCCCTGTTGGCCACCGTGCCTCGGTCTGAGCTTTGCAATTCAAATCAAGGTTTGTTTGCGAGAGAGGAGGAAGAGGTGGCAACCAGGAGCTTGCTGTGGAGGCGAGCGAGGTGTTAATAAGTCCTGGGTTCCTGTTTGCCAGGGTCTGTTTTACCTCCGCCTGGCAGGCCTGGGCGGGCAGTTGTGGGAGCCCTGAGCGTGGTCATTCCCCACACGCACACAGCTGCTTAGAAACCGTGTCCTCTCCCACACATCCTGGCACAAAGGTCCCGGCCCAGCCACAGCGGAGGCTGGTGCTGGGGAAAAGCACTCTGACTGAGCTGGCCACAGCCTCTGGACCTGCAGGGACCCTCCTGGCAAGTGGTCGCCTGGGGAGAATATGTCTTCTTTTCACTTCATAGGAAATGGCACGCCTGGCGTAGTTTGCCCCGTAACGCAGTGGTTTATGTGTGTCCTCTGTTTTTTGGGGACTCCCAAGTCTGCCCAGCGGCAGCCTGGCCCCGAGTGCCTCGGCTGCTGTCTCCGAAGGTCTCCCTGCTGCCAGCAGCCCTTGCCCGCGGGGACGTTGTTCTCCCCACGTGACTTTCTGCTGGCTCTAATGTGGAGATGCTCATCAAGCATTTCACCTCTTGCCAGGGCCAGGCTTCTATTTATTTATGCCAGCGTCTTTGTCGTGGGGCACCCTGTGATGGTCCTGATACCCCAGCTTCTCCCACCCCTCAGTTACAGCACCCTTCGTCGTTGTAGGAGTTACTGGTAGCACGGGGAAGCTGTTGGAGGGGCTCCGCGGAGGGCAGGAGCCTGGAGCCCATGACCCCCTGTTGCCCTCTGCCTCCTCCTTTCCTCGTGCTAATTTTCTCCCTCTCCTTTCCACAGCTGGGAGACCGAGGAGCCACGCTGGGAGGACCCTCTCCGCAGGATGTTCTCTCCACCAAAGAACTCCCTGTAACAGGCGATGATGACAATCCCGGCAGGACCTTGGAAAGCACTAACATTTCAGTAGCCCAGCACCCGTGGGTGGCCGCTTATCCCTCCTTCTCCACGCCCCGCCCTCCCATCGCTCACCGGGATGGTGTATTAATCAAGAAGAGCCCTGCTTCTTTTCTCCTCACCCCTCAACTTTCGGCAGCTCTGGGATTTGTATGGCAGCAGCGTAACCGTGGAGAGGCCGGGGTATCACAAACTTATGGATTTTGATAAGAGAGGAGGGAAAGGGGAGCTGGAGGAAGGTAAAAGGATGTCCAAGACAGGTGGAGGAAGGAGCAGTCATGGAAGCCGGAGTGCTGGAACCAACTCGGGAGTCTTAATGGTGGGTCCCAACTTCCGGGTCGGCAAGAAGATTGGATGCGGCAATTTCGGGGAGCTCCGTCTAGGTGAGAAGAGTCGTCTTCTGTTCTCGCTATACCTGCGTGTGCAGGGATTGCCCTGGCTCCCACCCTCTGCAGCAGGAGGAGCTGGCACGTGCCTCTGTAATTGTCAGCACCGAGGGTGTTGACCGGCCGTACAGTGCTGAAGCATTGCCCTTGGTTCCTCCACAGAGTTTCCTTTTTCTCAGCCCCTTCACGCTGTGCTTGATCTTTCAAAGCCCATCACAGCTCGAAGGACTGATTGCAGAGGGGTTTCCCATCTGCTCCCCATACCTATCGCTCTTTGGGTTTGCAGGGGAGAGCGTTACGGTTCAGTCCTGTCTGTTGGAAGTGCTGGTGGCTCACGCAGGCCTGGGTGTGTCCCCCCAGTCCCGGAGCGCTTAGAGAGTGATGTTTCATGAGATGCTGCAGTGTGCTGAGCAGATCTTGCCCCGCTTGTGCACAGGGTGCTGCCCTCCAGCTGCACCGTGTGCTTCTGGGGAGTGGAGGCCCGTGGGGTGTTTGCTCTGCTGGGGCAAACATCTGGGGAAGAGAGTCCGTGTTTTATCCTGGGTAGATTCTCCAGTTGTTGAATGATTGTTTCAGAGACTCTCCTAAAGTTTTATGCAGAGGAGAGAGAAAGGGCTGAAGAAAACCAGAGCGCCTTCCGTGGCCACTTTGTGTTTTGAACCAAGGGTATGGGGAAGCAGTTCAAGCAAACTCTTGTTTAGAGGGTGGGTAGGCTGCTCCTCTCCCAAGGACTCGGCGTGCCCCAGGAGGCTTTCAGCAAGCTGTTAACTCTTTGGTTGGCATCAGGCAGCTGGGAGAGGCCTGGCAGTGCCAGGCACCCCTGTGCCAGCAGCAGAGTCTGGATGTCTCCAGGAATGCGCGTTGGATGTGTTGATGCAGTCTGCCAGGCGGAGAGTTGGCCTTGGCCACGAGCGCTTTGGGAAAGGGCTTGTGCCCCAGCAAGAGGGAAGAGAGCTGGTCCCTGGAGCAGGCTGGGAGCTTGTGACGGCCGTAGGCCTTGTTGCTCTGGGATATTTTAAGCAGCGCCTTTTCAAACCAGGCTCTGAGCTAAACCTGCAGTAAGTGTGGTCGTTCCGGCAGGCTGTTTGTGTGCAAAAGGAGCAGGAGGTGGGAGGCTGTCGGGAGGTGCCACCAGCAGCCCCAGCTCAGGCACCCGGGCGGAGGGTGGGGTGAGTTTACCCACCTCACTGTGCCGCCTCTGTCTGTGGGGAGTTAATGTTAGCTCTTCCCGGCGTGACAGACTGGCTGGTGCCAGGCTAAACCGTCCTGTTCCTGAACTCCCCGATGGGATCGCCGCTTAATTGCAGAGCTTGGGAAAACGCTCTGTTTAAAATCCAACCGAGTGGTTCCTGTGTTCAGCAGCGGAGGGTCTGTCTCTCATGGTGTCGTGAAGGGCTCTGATCCTTCTTCCAGGCCCAGGTATTGTGGAAGGAGAGGTATTTAGGGATTTTGCCGCACCACCTGCTCCTTTCACTACTCAGGTGGATCTGGACACCCCCTGGGGACGCTGCACCTCCTGCTGCTGGTGCCTCCGTGCAGAGCTGGCTGGGAGGGGCAGATGGAGGGCTCTGAGCTGTGTGGGGTCTATCTGGGTCCTTCCACCTCCTTTTCCCTGCTTGCCAGTGAACCTCCCACCATGGGTATATGTTTGTGGTGATCTTCCAAAATCCTGCTCTAGGCAGGAGTCTGAAGTGACTGGGGCCATGGCTGTTGCTGTGTCCAGCACGCTCAGCACTGAGGGTCGGCACAACCCCCTGCCTTGGCCTCCCCCTCGCTTTTTGGGGACAGCACCAAGGCGGACACGAGTCTCGCACAAGTCTGAGGAACATCTGTGAAACTGGCGGTCCGGGTTGCTCAGAGCAGAGCTGCTGCAGGGACCTGGGAGCAGTTGGGCTCAGTTTGCTCGTGGCCAAAGGGACAAGCAGTGGGCTTTTGCTCTGAGGCTCTGCAGTGGGAGTGAGATACCCTCACGGTTCACCCTCTCGCTGTGAGAGTTTGTCCTTGCCACCAGCAAGAGAAGCTTCTAGTGCCTTCACGTGGTTTTACTGCCCTGTCACACCCTGTAGTGCCCGGCCTTAACATGGTAAAGGCCTGAGCCCAAGGTCTCATCACAGCAGAGGAAGCCACAGCTATATGGCTTTTCTCCTAAAATCGCATCTCTCTTCCTTAGGTGTGCCTCTGAGCTGCGTCAGGGCTCAGGAATGCTTTCAGGACTTCACAGAAAGTAGGGATTCCTCCAGCTGCAGATGAATAGCAAAGGACCAGAGGGATCCTGCTGTGAAGTGGTGGCATGAGCAGGGATGGTGCTCAGCTATTGCTGGACACTCAGTTTTCCCCTGGGAATGGAGTATTCGGTCCTCAAGGCAGGCTGGGTGCAGAGGCCAGTGGGTAAAAGCTCCCAAATCTTCTTTGGATTTTTTCCTTTCATTAAAAAAAAAAAGTGAGGAGATCTTGCAAAAACATGCCAGGAGGTGACTCCTCCAGCTCCCAGGGGTGGGGGATGAAGGAAGATGAAGTTTCTTCCTGAAACAGTTAACACTTTGCACAGCTTCACCATTGTGCTGAGTCAGGTGCTGATCTGTCCTTCGGGGTGCTTCAGCTCAGCTGCCCCAGATCGAGATGTGTGTCCTCCCAGGTACGGAGCTGTCCAAAATCAAAAGTGATTTGTTTAAAAATAACATTTAAAAAAAAATAAAATAATTGGCATAAGGTATTTGTAGGAAGCCAGAAGGGGAGTGACTTGGGCAGGAGTTCCTGGCTTCCAGAGCCGTGCTGGGATCCCGCCCCTCCCTGTTCATGCTGGGCATAGTGTCCTGGGTGATATGGGTAGTGCCAGTCCCCGTCCCAGTCAGGCGCTGCTGCTGGCCAGTTCCTCGCTCTATGGGCACGACTGGAGAGCTGGACTGGGAGCTGGAGTGGGGCAGCCTCTGGCACATGGGGTTTGGGGGGAGCTGTGTGGGGGTTCACGAGAGGCAGGTATAGGTCATGCAGGTGGTGCGTCCTGTTACCTCCTGGTCACCCTGTCCTGCTCCTTCACCCTCGGCTGGGCGAGGCACCGTGCCCCAGCCAGCACCTCCAGAGTGCTTGTTCCTCCCCCTTCCAGCCTGCAGCGGTGGACAAATGCCAGCCCAGCTCTTCCTGGGGCTTTCCAAAGGCAGCTCTGGGCAGCACCCACTGCCTGCAGCCCCCCAAGCTCCCCCTGCCCAGCTGCTGCCTGGGGCCAGCTTGCCTCCGCACCAGGGCTGGATGCTGCCCTCTGAAACACAAGGCAGGAGGAAGCTGGTGGCAGTGGGGCTGACTGGAGCGTGGCTGGTGGCTTGTGTGCCCTGGCACTGGGCTACGGGCGAGCGGCAGGAGCCTGCAGCCCGCTGCCGCTGCCAGCTCCCTGCGCCTCCGGGAGCGAGGCCAGCACGGACTGCTCGCAGCGAGGGTTTGGTGGAGCAGGGCCCTCTTAGCAGCTCCTCGGTGGTGCTTTGGGGTGGACTGGGAGAGGGGGAAAGGAAAATGCAGACATGAACCAGAAAGGTTAAAAATGAGCCCAAAGCACCGGGGTGGTATGCAAGTCCCCTTCCTCAAGCTCTGCCTGGTGCTGGGCTGCCTCAGAGCTGCCCTTTGGAGCCAGGAGCTGCTGTTCGTCCTGCCGTGCTGTCTGGGCAGGGGGGCTCCCTGATGGCCCCCTCTGGAGGCTGGTCTGAGGCTGGTGCTCAGGTGAGGCTGTGCCCCTGGGGAGGGCTGGGGACGTGGTGGAGGCTGTCGGTTCTGTTCTTGGAATAAACTTCTGTAAATGTGCTTTTTGCAGCTTTCCTGTGTTCACCCCTCTCCCCCAGCCTGGTGTACTCGTTTCCAATGGCAGCTTGGAAACACAGCGGCTGTTTTCCTTCAAAGTTAAAAGCTGAAATTAACTTATTTTTAAAAAGTAAACCCAGCATTTTGGAAGGAAGAAAGCAGGGGGGTGGGTCTTTGTGCAGTGTATGAGCCAGCGGCAGGTCACTACTACAGCTGGGCTGGGGCCATGTCCTGGCTGAATGGTCACGTGTGAGTGCTGGGGACATTCCCAAGCTCTCTTGAGCTGTCACTCTCAGCCCTGGCCTGCAGCCTCCCGGGTACACGCCGGAGGTTACTTCTCGAGGGCCAAAAGTATCTTCAGAAGATGAGGACTGGGGTCAGCACACTGCACGTGACACTTTTCCCTCTTCGTCTCCCCAGAGACCTCCGTACACGTGTACATACAGCGAAGGGCTCAGCCACCCCTAAAAGGCGGCTGGCTGGTCGGAGCTGCAGACCCACCACGTGCTGGAGGCAGCTCACGGGCATCTTTGGAGTAGGCTGGGGGAGAGAAGAGCCCGCAGGCTGCCTGCTAACTGCTCCCCTTGCCTCCCTTGCTAATTGCTCATGCTTGTTTTTCCTCCTGGTTTTGCAGAGCCTCCTCTAGAGGAAGGTCAAACTCTAAAATAACTTTTTTGGGTTTTTCCCAATGGTCCAAGGATCTGTCATTGCTTGGACTGATGCAGCTTGTGTCGCCGGGGCTGCGGTGCTTGCAGTGCTGGGCCGGTGCCTGCTGCCTTCGCACAGAGCTGCCTTCTCCCGTGCTCCTCGACTGGGGACTGGAGAAGCCAAATTGCTGGTCCCAGTGCCCAGGCGCAACTCTGCGCTCCTGCTGCAGGCAGGGCCATGGCACAGAGGCTCCCAGCACGGTCAGCGTGGTGCTGTGCCCCACGCCGTGCCACGACTGAGGGCAGCACCAGGCAGAGGGGAAGCCACTTGGATGGGGACCTGATTGGGAGCCAGGCGTGGAGCCCAGCTCCTCCTCAGGCCACCGTGATGTGCAGGAGCAGGTGCCCGACCCTCCTGCTGCCAGATCTGCCTTCAGGAGGGGGACGGGCTGGGTGGTAGCACTGGGTTAAGGGAAAGCCATGTCCAGCTTATTAAAAGCGATAGGGACCCCGGGTCTGGCCACCTCCTGCGAGGGGTGGCTTCGGCTCGGCTCTGATCAGACACGCCGCATCTTGCAGGTGCTGGCAGCTGGATTTGGAGGCGCCGCCAGCACCGAGCAGGGCAAAGGCCTCTCTGCAAACGCAAATATTTGCTTTCTGCCACCCATCTTGCCGCTTTTCTCTTCTTGTCTTTCAAAAGCACTTTTTCTCCTTTGAATCCTGCAGTGCTGCCTGCTCTAGTCCTCCCCCGGGGTGGTCTGTGGCCTCCAACACATTTTAGGTGTTTAAAGTTACCGTTGTTAGCAGAGCAGGCAGCATGGGGGCGGCCACAGGAGCTGCTCCAGGAGCTGGAGTGGGGAGATCCCCGGTCTGGGCCAGGCCCTGCTGGGGAAGGGACCCTGCAGCCCTCCCTCCCTCTTTTCCTTTTTCTTCCCTGTTGCCCTTTTTTTTTTTTTTTTTTCCTGATAAGCCCGGTTCTGCTCTTTGCACCTTTTTTTTAATTGGTAAAGGGGAAGAAGATGTGGTGGTTAAACAGCAGCAGTGATCCGTGCTCTTTCTGCTAATTCCATCTTTTCCATCAGCTTCGCCCAAGCCCTCTGAGCGTTACAGGAAGGGGTGAACCGTGAGGGTATCAAATGATTCGGACCCGTTTCTTGGGCTGGGAGGGGGCTGCCAGCTCCCAGAGCATTTTTGCAGGTAACTTTCTCTGCCAGCAAGCCACGGGGGCGCCAGCGTGGTGGGTACAGGACAGATGCCACAAGGGATGGGATGGACCTCTCCAAGCACACGCCTGCCGAGGATGCTCCTGCCTCCTTCCCTTCTCCCTTCCTGCTGTGCTGGGCTGGGTTTTGCAGTGCCCCTCTAGCTGGTATCCTGCCATGTTACTTTTTTCCCCCTCCTAACCTCAGCCTAACCTCAGGGAAGATCCATCTGTGTTTTCTGGTTGCATGTTACTGCCCTGAAGGCAGCAGTGATTTTTTTTGGACTGAACTGTACGGCCCTGAGGCTGGAGCCCACCTTAGCTGGGGAGCACATGGGGACCCTGTGCCGTTGTCGCAGGCAGGGCCGTACCTGCCTGGCTGGGCTCTGCCTTCTCCTGCATCCCGGCTGACACGTGGGGGTGTTTTGCTCTCCCTTGCGGTTGTTTGCAAAACACAGAGGTCCTGGTGCCTGGAAGATAAGCTGCCTGCACACGCTTCTCCTCCCTGCCAGCTTGCTGCCTTGTCTCCCCCTTCAGTCATTGGGACGTGACTGCTTGTGGCGGGGGCGAGGGAGCTGCATGGGGGTCCATCCAGATTTCAGTTCTTCCCTGCCTCAATCAAGTTCCCAATGAACTAAGGGTGTCCTTTGAGCTCTCTGGAGCCATGCACGGGGTCTGGGGGATGTCCCACCTCCTTCCCAGGAAACGTCAGTCTGTGATGGGCCAAAAACCCCGGGTCTGGCATATGCCAGACATTAGCCAGACGTTTCTCCCTCCCAAATCACCTACTTCCTAATCGCTGTGAAGGGATTTGGTTTTGCAGAGGCAGGAGACAAAGTGGCTTGGCAGAGATCCCCTGGGATGAGAGAGGGTCAGCAAGGCAGCAGGATTGAGCCCCTCCTTGGCTGCAGAGCTTGTCCCTGGGAGGAGCCACTCCATTAATATCTCCCATTCATCCCTCTTCCCGTAATCCTGCCACCAACTCTGGCGCTCAGCAGCTGGCTCTGATGTCACCCGGCGAGGATTTATTGCTGCTTCAGGTGGAGAGCAGCAGTTGGAGCAGATGAAATCTTATGCCAGGAGGAGCTTGTTCCCTGAGCAAATTGCTTGGAGAAAATCCGAGGAGACAGATGCAGCTCCATCAGATATGCACATGCCAGGCAGGGGGATCGCGTGTCTGCTGCCTCTGCGTGCCGTGGAAGGGAACCTGCTGCGGTTAACTCCCATCTCCCCGGTGTCCTGAAGGGCTCTGGCAGAAGGGGCCCTCGGATATTTCTGCAAACCTCTTTAATCTTTGCTTTTGTGGACCTGGGGCAGAGGTTGAGCTGGTGCTTCCCGGGCGTGACAGCTTCCTCATGCCCTCCTGGCGCTCTGGGATGAGCAGGGTGATGTGCAGACACTGTTACTTCAACCTTTCTGTAGTTATGGGCGTGAAAACCCCCGTGAAGGTGCTGAGCTCTTTAGGAAGTCATTTGCAGGGTTTTGGGGTGGCACAGCTGCCCTTTTTAGCTCTCCTGGGCACTTGGAGGCAGATGTCTGGCCCTCCCCGCAGCGCGTCGGTGCCTTCAGCTCCTCCTCATACAGTCTGGGCCGTGCCGTGGGTCTGCGCCTGGCTTCCCCTGCACCCTGGGGTGGGTGGGAGCAGCCTGAGGGACGAGGTTGAGCCGCACACGTGTGCACATACACACACACGTGCCATCCCCAGGAGTGACCCCAGCCCTGGGGAAGGGATTTCCACCTACCTGCGGTGTCTTTGAACCGCTGCCAGCTGCAAGGCCTCAAGCTGCCCCAGTGCTTTTGGGGGTCCTTCCCCCCTGCCACCCTCTGCGTGGTCCCGTCACCCGTAAAGCAGCATCCCCTGACTCTGGACAGCCCTCGCAGCAGAGCAGGGCGGCCCCTCTCCATGCAGGAGAGGAACAGCAAGTCCCAGCCTTGTTCCTCCCTTGGCCAGTCGCATCCTTGCAGGCCTGGACTGGGACACTGCCGCCTCCCAGCAGACTTGGCTCCGGCCCCACCAGCAGCCTGCCCATCCCAGAGGAATCCAGTACTCCATCTGGGGGTAATTAACGGGCATGTTGGGACTCCCCGCAGTGGGTTCCTGCTCCTGCTCGTGCCTCGAGGCCTGTTGATGTGTTGTGGGAGCCGCCGAACCTGTTCTAGACATTCTGCAGCCCCGGAGCCCTCGGGGGGCTGCGGTGGGTGTGATGTGGGGTTAATGCAAAGGCTCACTTGCTTTCAGTTGCCTTTTTTGTGTCTCTCCCTGCAGGAAAGAACCTCTACACCAACGAATACGTAGCTATCAAATTGGTGAGTCCCTCTGTGGTCGGGGGGTTGATGTTCAGGCCACCTGGGAAGGAGCTTGTTCACCCTCCCCAGGCTGTTAGAGGAGGTCAAGCCGAGCGGGTTGCGATAGGTGATGGACAGGCGGGTGCGCAGGGGAGCTGTGCTGGCTGGTAGGAATCGAGGGCAGGCAAAGCAGCGCACGTCATTGCAGGTGGGGTGATCTGGGCCCGGGGAGAGAAGAGCTGAGCGTTCGCTTCTCCGGGACCTTCCCAGCGCCTGTGCTGCGCTCAGCCGGTGCCTGCGGCAGCGAGACCTCTGGGAGAGGGTGGTCCCCACTGATCCCTGCTCCCACTAATGGCTACCCCAGCACCTGGATGTCTCCGGAGGGGATGGATCTGGCTCCCATATGGGCTGGTTTTCTCTCATCGTCCCCTGAGGCTTCATCTCCATTTTATACTGGTTTTTCTCAACCCCAAAAGCTGCTGCCAGCGTGTGAAGGAGGTGTCTGACACCCAGACCTCCCTACCATCCTGCTCCCTGCAACAGCCTTAACTGTTCTCCTTCTCTCCTCCAAGGAACCCATAAAATCCCGGGCCCCCCAGCTGCACCTGGAGTATCGGTTCTACAAACAGCTCGGCAATGCAGGTATGGGGCTGGGCTGAGCTGCCGTGGGGGGCTGGCCACCCGGGCGACGCAGCTAGGAAAGGGAGGCTGCCTGTAAACGTGACTCTGCAACTTCCCTCCCTGGCCTGAGCAGCTCCTGCCCATCTGCTCAGCTGGGAGAGGCTGATTTTACACACAGCCACGTCTAATCTTTGATCCCTTCTTATTTAGCTCTTTTCCCCCCACCTCCCCCGCAGCAGAGTCAGGGATGCAGATGGAGCTGCCTCCTTCACCCTCCTGCCAAGAGCACAGCCAGGCTGTCTGTGGCACCGAGGGAGGGCAGTGCAGAGACATCCCCCCACCTGCAGCCCCCCTGCCCCAACTCCAGCAATGGCGTGGCCGTGACAGCGTGGCCGTGTGCTGCTCGGCCCTGTTACAGCCCCTGACGGCCCCTGCTCCGTCTCTTGCAGAAGGAATTCCTCAGGTTTACTACTTTGGCCCCTGCGGGAAGTACAATGCCATGGTGTTGGAGCTGCTAGGACCCAGCCTAGAAGATCTCTTTGATCTGTGTGATCGGACCTTCACGCTCAAGACCGTCCTGATGATCGCGATCCAGCTGGTGAGCGCAGCCCCTCCGCCTCCCCGCGGCTCACCCCGGCCTGCCTGGCCACAGACCGCCCCGGGGGAGCGGGGCGATGCGTGGGCTCGGTGGTCAGGGTGCGTGGGGACCCCGCAAGGAAGGGGAGGGGAGGGAGGGGTGAACCAGCACCTGGCAGCCCGCAGGAGACCCTGCCTGCTGGCACGTCCCAGACCACCTCCCTCCATACCTCACCCTCTCCCTGATGTAGGAGGGCTCTCCCCACCTCCACTCAGCCCCTCTCTGAGCACAAACAAGCGTCTCTCACTGTCTGTCCGAGATGCAGCCAGACTGAGGTGGTCTCCCAGGGCTGGAGGACCTCTTGTGCCCATCCTTTCGACCAGGGTGGCATACAGGCTGAGGGGAGCAGGGTTTCTGGTCGGGGGCGAGGCAATCGGAGCAGAGCCAGGTCCAGGGAGGCATGCAGGACGCACAGTGTGTCTCTGCCGTGGTGCTGACATCTCCTTCTGCCCCCCAGATCACACGGATGGAGTACGTCCACACCAAAAGCCTGATCTACAGAGATGTCAAGCCAGAGAACTTCCTGGTGGGGCGGCCGGGCAGCAAGCGGCAGCACACCATCCACATCATCGATTTTGGCCTGGCCAAAGAGTATATTGACCCCGAGACCAAAAAACACATCCCCTACCGAGAGCACAAGAGCCTGACAGGGACAGCACGCTACATGAGCATCAACACCCACCTCGGGAAAGGTGGGTGTGCACCGTGCGGCCAGCCCTGCCTCTTGGCCGAAAGGGAGAGGGAAGGGGACTGCAGCCCCCTCCCTGCCAGAGGTGGGGCTGGGGACAAGCTGCCTCTCCTGCTCTTCAGCCTGGGATGTTGGCAGGGAGCTTGGGGGCCTGCAGGGTCTGGCAGGGACAGGGATGGTGGCTGTAGTGGGAACGTGTGTCTTTTTTTTATTTTCTCCATGCAGAACAAAGCCGCAGGGACGACCTGGAAGCATTAGGGCACATGTTTATGTACTTCCTCCGCGGGAGCCTTCCTTGGCAAGGCCTCAAGGTAACCGCCAGCTCCCGCTGTCCCTGGGCACGGCCACCCCGTGGGTCTGGCTCTGCCCTGGCGTGGGCAGCATCAGGGAGTGGGGGGAAGCTTTGGCCCCCGGGGTGTTGGAGGGTTGGTACCGCGCCAGGTGCAGGGGCTGCTGCTCTGAGCTCTGTTGTCCTGAGCAGCTGTAGGTGTCCCCCTCTCTGTGTCCCCGCCGCTTTGCAGGTACCCCAGCTGCTCTCAGTGGCTCTCCTGCAATCACGCTCCCTGGTGTTCGTCCTCCAGCCTTGCCCTGGGTGGGGGGATTCCCTGGGAATGAGCTCTCATTGTTACCTGGAGAAAGGGGACCAAGAAACCATTGATGATCTGATGTCACCCAGTGCCTTTCCTGCTCCCTGGCCCCCATGCTGACCTGCTCCTTGTCTCTGCCAGGCTGACACGCTAAAGGAGAGGTATCAAAAGATCGGTGACACCAAAAGAGCCACTCCAGTGGAGGTGCTCTGTGAGAACTTCCCAGGTGAGGGCACTCTGTCCCTGTCCCCAGTCTGGTCCCCCAGAGCCTGCTGGCCTGGCATCTCGTCCCCCTGCCCCAACTGAGCCCGCTCTGTCCCCGCAGAGGAGATGGCCACGTACTTACGCTACGTGCGGCGGCTGGATTTCTTCGAGAAGCCTGACTACGACTACCTGCGGAAGCTCTTCACAGACTTGTTCGAGAGGAACGGTTACGTGTTCGACTATGAATATGACTGGGCAGGGAAACCGCTGGTGAGTGGGGCGGGGGGCCCAGGGGGCGGTGAGCAGCGTGGTGGGGAGTCAGCGCGGTCTGCGGCAGCAGCCAGCGAGGTTGCAGGTCGGCTGTCATCCCCGTCACGCTCATCCACACCTGAGAGATCAGCTCCACCAGTCCTCACCCGACACCAGCAGCCAGCCCTGAGCTGGGGCTCTCGTGACGATGTTAAAGCTGTGACACAGAAATTTGAGGCTCCTGGAGCTAAGAGGAACCCAGCAGTCGAGCTGGCACCTCGCCTTCGGCCATGGGCACCCTCCAGGGCTCGCTGCAGCCACACAC